AACTCCATTTTCAGACGATAGGGCGAAGGCATCAAACGAAGAAGACGGACCACCTAAGCGGTGTTGTCTAAGTAGAAACGGCTAGATGAGATGGAGGAGAGAGCGAGCACCTAGGTTTTGAGAAGGGCGGGGGGCGTGGGGTGGGCATTTTAACAAAAAATAGCAAATAAAATAAATTTTAAAATATTTAATAAATTAATTGAAAAATCGAGGTTTCAACCGTGATTTTTATTATACGTTATATAAAATACATGTTATACAAATCGTTATAATACACTAAAAAATAAGATATTTAATGATAACCGTGGTAATAAAATCACCGCAATACACGAGTCCATTTGTAGTACACCGGATGTTTACTTAACATGTACATTTTGATTTTCGACTTTTTTTTTGGGGGTTACGAAGGTATAAAAAAGTGTGGTGTTCGCTATGTTTTTTAAGAGTTAATTTTTTTTATACAATTATCTTAAGAATGTTCATTTTTAACTATATAAAAACTAAAAAGAAGTGTTTTGACCATTTTATTTTTTTTATAGTCATTTAAATAAATATTAAATAAAAATATTAAAAGAGTCCAAATAGAATAGTAAAATTATATTTTTTAAAAAATTATTTTTTGACATTTTTCTTGAAATTTCTAGCCTTTATATTAAATACTCTAAAAAATTTAAAATCAATTTTTTAACTCAATGAAACAACCCCCACTTATATCAAAAGATTTTTGCAACAAAATAATTAAAAAAATTAAAATAAATTTTTTTATATTTGCTAGAGATTAGCTATGGCTATACCCTAGTTAGAGTAAAAAATTTCATGCACAAAATTTTTCATATTCTATCCAAATATTAGCTACCGATTTAGTTAGGAATATTCTCTAACTAAAATTTAGTTACGGAAAATCCTAACTAATTCTTAACTATATTATGATAAAATTTCCAAGCAAAAAAATTGTTATAAAATGATCATTTCTAACCAAATCCGTAGCTAAAATTGCATATTAGTTACAAAATTTAATATCTTTAATTAAAATCCGTAATTAAAACCAATTTTTCTTATAGTGCAATAGATATGATATAAGTGATAAGACACTCTTATATTCACAGAGAAAGAACCAAGTTCGAATCCGTGAAAATACATTTTTGGGAGAGGTAACTATAGTGCCTTTGATAGGATTTAGCCTCAAACCATAAAAATAGATGAGCATACTTGTAAGAATTTCAAAAAAATTATGTAAATATATTGCATTCCATTAATTCAAAAAATCAAAAAATAATGACATACATGTTACTAGCTATGTACAATTAAATAATTAAACTCACTTTTTATTAAATCATTTTATCTAAATTCACTTTATCTAAGTTTACAAATATATAATATAAATTACCTCATAATTATTTAATTTTCCAAATAAATGATATAAATTACCTGATAATTATTGAAATGCCGGCTTTGTATTCTTCCGGAGATTTTTTGTTTTTGTATTATCATATTTACGTTTTCCACCCCCCACCCAACACATGCTGGTACGATTGGCTGCTTTACTTGGATTAATCCAGTTCTATTCCACTATTAAGGTTACTGAATTTTCATATGGAACATTCTTCTCAGGAAGTTTAGCCATGGCTATGCTTCCATGTTATTACTTGTTATTTTTTATTTTATTTTTTAATAAGTTTTGTTTATGTTTTTTAATGCCATTGTAGACAAATATATTTAAAATAAAAATAATATTAATCTGTATGGGAATATAATTATATGCTTATGTCACGGGCCGAATTCTTCAGCTAATCATGCGACACTCGAGCATAACCTGTATACCCAAGTCAACCTCAACCCACTTGATAGTCTCTTGCATTTAACTCTCACAAAACACAATATGGGTAGAGATGGGATCCCGCAAAGTGCCAAGTTTTCTTGTGTTCTCTATTTTTTTCGGATTACAATTCAAGGAATGATTGGTCCTTTATTATACGCAATTCACACCAGGTGCAGCTAGCTAATTCAACTAACAATTGCAGAGTGATACAAAAACAGAAGTGTTGAGAAAGAGGAGGGCGAGTCACAAAGGGGTTCAATAGGTGAGAAGATTCCTATAGCTCACGGAACTTGCTCCCAGTCTTTGTGTTTGAAAAGATCCAATTAGGCTGTTGTTTGGACATGACTCAGAAAGCATGAAAAAATATGTATGCATAGTTAATTATACAAGTAGACTTGGTTAATATCATTTATTTATATTAAAATTGGCAAATTTTTTTTGGTCATTTATCATAATTAATACATATGAATATGATGTAATATATATTTTTGTCACATCAAATATATACACACAAACACTTGTGTTGTGTGTGTGTGTGTGTGTGTGTGTTGTGTGTGTGTGTGTGCGTGCATACAACACACACACACGCACGCACGCACACACTCACACTCACACTCACACTCACACTCACACTCGGTATTCCATGCAAACCGGGACCACCACTTACTTGAAATCCTGTACAAAGCATGAGTCACAACCTTAGTTTTTTCGATCTTTGGAAGAAAACTCGCAGATAAAAATATAGACCTGGAAACGAAAAGCACATATAAATAACCTTTCCAGCCACATACAGACATTCAGCACCAAAAGGTTACAGCCCGTTTTCCTTCGTACCCTGCTAAGGTATTTCATATTATACAATGAAAGACCGCAGTAACTGCGATTATATGTACAGCAGATAGACTTTGTGTACATGCGTGCTTGTGTGTATGTATGTATACGTATATCCTGAAAAAGGAAAAGGTAACCTGATGACTACATTAGCAAACTGGAAGTTCCTTCCTAAATCCAGCGCCAAAACCATTTTGCGATAGCTTCTTACCCAAGGCACCATTTCCCTTTTGCATCATGGCCACAAACTCGTTGAAATCTATGCGGCCATCCTGAAAGGTTAGAAACTTCAATATGTTAATGGCATGTTAAGCAAAAACTTGAAAGAAAGAAAAGAGAAGGAGGAATCGGTGGTCAGAGCAGACAATGAACGACCTTCATGTGACAATTGACTGCTGTCATCCTGAGAACTGTTATCTTAATTAGCAACCAAAGATTTGATTTATGTGATATTTTGTCTTACATTAATTTTTAAGAATAATATAATATAATATATAAAAAATTAAATACTACTACTAAACAACTTTTATATAATATTATTTGCTTAACAAGTTGTCAGAATACATAACTCTCAGGTCATTACAAATGATATTAAAGCAAAAATGATTTTAAGACTAGTTATGTTTGGATACGGATACTGATTTGTGACTTACGAGTATGTCAAGTGCTTAAGTAAGGGAGATTATGATATTTCGTGTTATATCAATTTCTAAGACAAATATGAAATAATATATAAGAGACTAGGTATTACTACTAAACAATTTGTACTTAAATATTTCAAGTTAATGATTTAGACTCAACAAGTTATTAAAATTAGTAACTCTTGAATCATTACAATTTGGGATTTGGGATTTACATGGCTCTCTGATCTAAACTAATACAAAATTATGTCAATTAACTCAAGATTGATTTTAAAAAAATGACAAACAGAATTGTAACCATGTCCGAAGGGTGAGACTTTTTGACATATTCCATAATCTGTACTAGGGTCGTCATTGAAAAAGCACGTTCCATTAACCTTTTTCCAACAATCGTGAGGTCTAATTGAAGAAAGTATTTGTCAGTTCGTGGTGTGCTTCAAATACACCATAGACATCAAGATAAGTAATTTATTGACTTGAGTCCGCATGAGATAACGGGAGCACTTACATTGTTTTGGTCAACTTCTTTCATCATCTCTTCTACCTGGACATCCTCTATTCCAAACTCTTCGAAAGCTCGTTGAAGCTCATCTTGGGTGATGTAGCCACTGCCATCTTTGTCAAAATATGAAAAAGCAGCAAAAAGATTGTCTTCCTTCTGAACTTTGTTTAGATGCAAAGTTGCAGCTATGAATTCCCCATAATCAATACTACCACTGTTATCAACATCTGCCTGCATTTTGAGCCAAATTATGAATCACTAAAAACAAGCAGTCAAATTCTCTCTCCAAAAATCAAAATAGATTATGCTAAGATTTGCTTATCTCTGTGAAGAACACCATACAGCAAGTTTATTCTCAACTGAGAAGCTAGTTCAAAAGTGAATGAAGGTAGTATGCAGGGGCAGAGAAAGATTTTTCTTGGCAGGGGCCAATGTTGTTATATGTACTTAAAAAAAGTATCATGTTGTTATAGTTTTGTTTATCTTGATTGACCATTCTTTCATTTCTTTTTAATTTCCATCTTTTCTTTATCAAACACAACTAAAAATAAAGGGTGGAAATTCACTGTTTCATAGAACACATGAAAGTTATTTATTGATTTTAGCCTTTTAGTCAAGTGCAACTAATGGGGTGGTCAAGGATTTAACTTAAAGTCTTGATGCCCAATGCTAGGTCTTGAACACTCCAATAAAATGCTAGCTTTGTTTTAGGTATTGAACTTAATTATGAGTATAAATTAAAAGAATAAAAAATAAAGCACTTTTTTCTTAAAAAAGTTAGCGATCATTAATCTTTAAATAGTAACAACCTATAGCATACATTATAAATTAATTTTTGAGCAAAACAACAAAGATCACACACGCACGCGCGTGTGTGCACAATATAGCACTATGTACTTAGTCCCAAATATGAATATATTTGGAATTTGGGGTACCAAAGTGAAAAGACATATTTCATCCAATATTAAATTTACAAATTCATAAACAGGCATTTTAAATCTTTCTCCCTAGCTTGGCCATTGGTGGCATGGGTATATTAAATTACATATTAGAGATCAGTCAAGATACATGATAATATTAATGAAGCATGTACCTCCATTTGGTGTGACATATCCTTGTCCAACACTTGTCAGTGTCCAATACGTTATGGACACCTCAACGGTGAGTCTAAATTTTTTTTCTTTTTCTTCTTTTTAATTTTTTTACTTTTAGACACAAACTCCGAGTAATACTGATGTGCTTGTCTTAGGACATCCTCGCGCTGTTTATATCAAATAACCATGTCAAATGTTGGAGAATAAGACAAAGGGCACTGAGGGTAAAAGCTACTCAGCACAAGGTACATGCCAGCTCAACATAATTGGCTTTGCAGCCTCACCACAGGCTCGGCGCATAACCTCAGCCCCCACTACATGAGTACATACATTTTAGCATACTCTCACTATTCCTGTACAGACATGTAACAAAACATGTACTGATTCTGCTTTCTTCATTTTTGGATGTATTCAATTCACGTTGTTAGAGACCTTGTATATAAACACTGTATTCATTATTCAATTGATAGAAATGAATGTGATACAGATTACAGTTCCACAAACCTTCTCCTAAACTATACTGTTCTATTGCTTCTATTCTCACATCAAATAATATGTACCAAATATAAACTTTTCGACAGAAAATATTATATTTAGAACACATATTACATAGTAGCAAGTAAAGGAATAAATTGATGGTAGTTTTGGGTTCTTGTTAATTGGTGTACAGGTGTAAAAGAATTAAGTCTTATTATTTGGTATTAATGTTGTTTTTGCTCATTTTATGACTAATAATATAAAGAATATAAATATCGAAATATCCCATCATGTCTATGTCTTAATTTTTCTAGAGTGGCTCAGTTAGTGTGCTCATTTCCGTGGTCATGCTTCTTGAATAATATTTATTTCCAAAATGTCTATGAATCATATCCATCAAGGTAGACTGGTTTCTAAGCTCTCAAGTTCATGACAAAGATTACATTTGATGAACTTAAAATCTCAAATTGAGCTCTTGGCACATATAACAGTGCAATGAAATGCAAGCCAAAGTGGACAAAGTTAGTGGTTAAATGTAAATGTCCATAACCGTTTTAACAATGAAGAAGCATCATTTTCCTGCTTCAAAACATAAATTGAGGAAGTACCTTTTTGTTTTGTCAAAAGTAACTTAATTTAAAGGTCAGTTCTAATTCTGCATTGATACTTACGGCCTGCATTAGATGACGGATCTGAGACTCACTGAGATTGACACCATATCCTTCGAGTCCCTCCTTGAGTTCTTCGAAACTAATTTGGCCACTGTTATCTGTGTCAAGCATTTTGAACATTTCTTTTAAACCTGCAATTTCCTCTTCAGATAGACACCCTGCAATGACCTTCAGCCAAGGAAAAGCGAAGTTTTTATAAGATTATATAAAATAGAATACGCTGAAGTTCAGAATTTGTAATTTTTCAATAAATTTTAAGTGACCGGCACTTTATGTAGAGGTGCCCGGTGATGTAAAGGCTAAGACTTACTCGAAGAGCCATTTTCTTAAATTTATTCATAGCAGAAAACTGTGTCAATCGAGTTAAGACAGCAGGGTCAAGAGGTTTGTCGGTTGCCACTCCATCGTCTCGAAGCCAAGGGTGGCCTACATAAAAACAAGTAACTCATATAGCCTAAAATATCCTACCATGTACCCCAAATATGTAATAAAGCAATTTCTCATGTTTACAAAAGAGAAGAAAATTGTCAGATGGCTTTATCTAGGTTCTTAGAATAAATGTTCGCTCAGAATTTTCTTGTATCCAGTAGAAATCATTTCCCGAAAAGGACCAATGTGAGTGGCTTCCTGTTAATATCTAGTTAGTTATAATATTTTTAGTTATCAAATATGAAATATATATTTGGGCAGATAAAGTTGACATTAAGAAGTCAAAAGCATGGAACTCGAAGGAATATCTCAATGGACAAGTCTTTTCAATGAACAAGGAACAGCAATGGGCTTCTTAGTTGAAGCAACAAGCTGAAGCCAGGAAAAGATTTGACAAAAACAAAACTCATTTAACAATCTCTTAAACTTTCAATTTTATCATTGGACCAGCAGTTATCAAAATATCATTAACTAAAGAAAAGTGTATTCTCATGTGAAAAGAAAAATATGCCTATATTGTATGTTGTATGTGTATAGATTTTAATGATAAGAAACCAGCAATGGCACATAACATGGCATATCTAACAGCATGTAACTCATGTAGTTAGCTTCTCATATATTGCAACCAAAATGGGATGAAAATGGAACATGATACTTGCATAGAACTTCATGAGCAGTAAGCCGTTTCTTAGCATCTCTAACAAGCATTTTCCTGATTAAATCTTTGGCACTCTCAGAGATGTTAGGCCATGGATCTGATGAGAAGTCAAGATCACCATGCAAAACCTCTTGAAATATATCCTTCTCAGTTTCTGTATCAAAAAGAAAAGAAATATAATATGAAAGAGGATTTTGAGAAGGATGTTTATGATTGCTAGGACAAACAGATTACTGCTAACCAAATATGAATGTGGTCACTAGGGAGAAAAAAGGAAAAAAGAAAAGAATAGATATCTGACACTAATCAACTCAAATAACAAATAAAAAAAGTGAACAATACCCGCCCAAAATGGAGGTGCTCCACTTAGGAGAATGTAAATGATCACACCAGCGCTCCAAACATCTGCTTCTGTACCATAATTCTTGCGCAGAACTTCAGGAGCAACAAAATATGGGCTTCCAACCACATCATTGAAAGTGTCCCCTGTAACTTAAAATTGTTTAGCCCATAGACAAAATATCAATAAAGAAAAGAAAAAAAAAACAAGAAAAAATATTAAGAAAATCTACAAAATAACATCTGGGTAGTCACAAAACTGAAAGAACCGTTTCACAAATTTGAGCAAGCCACACCAAAACCAAAGTTCCTATTACAAATCTTTTCCTTTCAGCCATTACATTTTTACCAAGATTTTAAGAACTTATCCAAGTAGAGCATTCATAGAAAGAATTAATAAGGAAATTGATACTACCTAAAGTAAGTGTTAAGAGACAACCATAGAAAACCTTAAATTGGGTAAATGAGTCAGTGATCAACACTGTCCTTTGAATTTTGTATTTATAATACTGAGAGATATATAAATAAGGAAGGAGAATATATAGATAAGGAAATAAAATAAATGAGAATATTTCTAGTGATATACTCCTGTCGTATATTCCTAATCTACTTACATACATATTTCTACACTCCCTTTCAAGATAGAGGATACAAGTCATATGTACCAAACTTATTATATATATATATATATATATGTAATTCGAGGTCCCCCAAGTGACTTGGTGAATACATCTACTAATTAATCATTATAATTGACAAAACCAGTAGTAATGCATTCAGACTAAATTTTTTCTGTGATGAAATAACAGTCTACTTCTATGTGTTTGGTCCTCTTATGAAACACTGGATTAGAGGTGATGTGTAAGACAGCTTGATTATCACAGATGAATTGCATTTGTTTAATATCTCCAAATTTCAATTCTTGGAGTAATTTTTTGAGCCATATAAGTTCACATGTTGCCAATGTCATTGCACGATATTTTGCTTCTGCACTTGACCTAGCAAATGCATCTTATTTCTTACTCTTCCAAGAAATCAAGTTGCTTCCAAATATTACGTAATAGCCTGAGGGTGATCGCTTATCTGAGGGCAAACTAGCCCAATTTGCATCTAAGTGGCCAATTATCTGAGAATGACCTTTGTCTTCACAGAGAAATCCTTGGCTTGGTGTCCTTTTGATATATTTAAGTATTCAAATTACAGTATCCCAATGACCATCATACGGAGATTGTAGAAACTAACTAAATACACTTACAACAAAAGAAATGTCCGATCGAGTGATGGTAAGGTAGTTTAATTTTCTAACAAGTTTCTGGTACCGTCTAGGATCCGATAGAGGCTCCCCCTATCCTGGTAAGAGTTTGATATTTGGATCTATAAGAGTGTCTACAGGTTGACAATCTGTTAAGCCAGTTTCTTCTAAGATATCAAGAGCATATATTTTATTGAAAAATAATAATACCAGTTGATGACTGAGTCACATCAATACAAAGAAAATATTTAAGTTGACCCAAGTCCTTGGCCTAAAAATGATACAAGAGATGTTGCTTTAGTTTGTTGATACCTTCATTATCATCTCCCGTGATAACGATATCATCCATATATACTATAAGATACATGCTTTTGTAGCGTGAAGAATGTTGATAAAGAACAAAATGATCTATTTCGCTATGAATCATCCCAAATTGCCGAATTACTGAACTGAATCGCCCAAACCATGCTTGTGGAGACTGTTTTAGGCCATAAATTGATCGACATAAGTGACAAACTAAGCTAGACTCCCCCTGTGCAACAAATCTAGAAGGTTGCTCTATACAGACTTCTTCCTCGAGCTCACCATATAAGAAAGCATTCTTGATATCAAGTTGGAAAAGAGGCCAATGACACATAGTAGCTAAGGATAGAAGAAGACGAACAGAGGCAATTTTGGCAACCAGAGATAATGTATCACCATAATCCAAGGTGTAAATTTGAGTATAACCTTTGGCCACCAAACGAGCCTTTAAGCGATCATCTGCCCATCAGGCCCAACCTTTATAGTATAAACCTAATGATACCCAATTGTGGACTTCTCCAGAAGAAGAGAAACTAGTTCTCAAGTGCCACTAGAATGTAAGGCTACCACTTCATCTAGCATAGCCTGTCACCAATCAGGATATGATAAAGCCTCACTTGTATTTTTAGGAATAGCCACAGAATAGGAGGTAATAAAAGCAAAATAAGGAGAAGACAAACGATGATAACTCAAAAAAGTATAAATAGAATGAAGGCTTTACGTAGAGCAATTACTTTTACAAAGAGTAATAGGAAGACTATCAGAAGGAGGAACCTGGGATGCTAAAGACGTTGAATCTGGGCGAGAATCTGCAGGGACAACAGTTAAAATGTCAAGGTGCGGTCAATGGTGATAGGTTTGAAGAGGGTAAGAGAGAGCAGTCTCAATAGGTGGTCCAAGTAAAGGAACAGGAAGAATATCTAATACAGATGAACTTTCAGTTGAAGAGGAGTAGAATGGAGACTCTTAAAGAAAGTGACATCTGTAGAGATGATGTAGCAATGACTATCGGGATGATAACATCAGTAGCCTTTTAAAAGACCAGAGTAGCCAAGAAAGATGCATTTGTGAGATTTAGGTTGAAGTTTGTCTTATCTAGGGGTTAGATTATGAACAAAATAAACAAAACCAAAGATACGAGGAGGAAGAGAAAATAATGAGTAGATGGAAACAACAAAGACATGGGAGTCTGATTTTGTAGGGCAGAAGAAGGCATACAATTAATTAAGTATAAGGCAGTAAGGACAGCATTACCCTAAAAATGAAAAAGAACATGATTCTAAAAGAGTAAAGTGCGTGTTGTTTCAATCAAGTATCGATTCTTACATTTAGTGACACCCTTTTGCTGAGGTGTGTGAGCATAGGAGGATTAATGAAGAATACCCTATGAAGACATAAAAGAAGTGAAAGAAGAGAAAAAATATTCACGAGTATTATCACTTCTTAAAATGTGAATAGAGCAATAAAATTGATTTTGAATTTCAACACCAAAGGTTTGAAAAATGGACAAAATCTCAACATGATTTTTTATTAAAAATAACCAAGTATATCTAGAAAAATCATCAATAAAAGTCACAAAATATTGATAACCAAAAACTGTGGGAACACGACTAGGACCCCATATGTTAGTATGGACTAACTCAAAAGGGGACGCAACCTGATTATTCACTCACTTGGGAAATGAACTTTGAATATGTTTACCAATTTGACATAACTCACACTTTAAAGACTTCAAAGATGACGAATTGGGAACCATCTTCTAGAGTTTGGAGATGCTAGGGTGACCTAACCAATTGTGGAGAAGAGATGGTGAAACAGTAGAGCTAAATGTAGCAAGATATGATGGCAGTGTGAGAAGATATAGCCTATGAGATTCATACACTTTGCCAATCATCTGCCCCATATCCCAATCCTGTAGAAGAACAGAGTTACTAAGGAAATTAGTTAATTTACTGATAGTGATAAGATTAAAGGGACAACCAAGGACATAAAGAGTAGAATTAAGAGTTAAGGAAGGGAGAAAACGAATTTGACCCAGACCTTTAGTCATTATTTTTGAACCATTAGCTAGAGTAACCATAGGAAGAGAATGTGAACTATTGAGTTTAGAAAAAAAAATGAACATTACCAAAATATGGTTAGAAGCACTTGAGTCCAGAATCCAAGGGTCAAGAGAGGATGATTGAGTAATGAAAGCAACTGAATTACCATTCTGGGCAGCAGAAGTAGAAGCACACGATTGAGCAGATGTAGAGGCAGATGACTGAGTAGCCTAGTATGCTAAATAGTTTTGATAGTTAGTAGCGGAGATGGTAACTGTGGGCACCTTAGACATAGGAAAAACATTTGATTGAGTAATATTAGCAATACAAGGTGGTCGGCCATGTAATTTGTAGTAGTGATCACGGTGTGGCCCATCTTGTGAGACACTAGCCTTTACTATGCCCTTGATGGCCAGAACTAGTAGAAACAACATGAGATTGGGAAGCCAAGACAGAAGAGTCACCAGTAGGAGTAGTTGAAATAGGTATAGGCTGAGTAATCCGAAGTAGCCAAGCAAAAACATCTTCCATGGAAGGAATGGAAGAACTCACTAGTATCTATTGACGAATAAAGTCAAAGTCAAAAGGTAAACTAGCCAAGGTAAGGAGCATGAAAAACTTATCATAGTTAGCTTCTTGAGTGGTAGTATTAGAAGTGATAGGAAGGAACATAGTAAACTTTGATTTGACACCTGGGATATGCCCTAAGTAAGTAGACATGAGCTAATCCTGCTTTTGAAGATTAACTATGTCAAAGATGACCTTATAAAACCGCTGAATATCATTTGTATATAATAATTTGACTTTCTCCCATACTTCATAATAGGTTTGGAAAGGGCAAAAAAGGTCAATCAATTGACGATCAATAGTGTTCCACAGTAGACTACACAACGGAGCATCAATTGTTTCTTAATTATCTTTATTAGTCACTGGAATATTAGAAGCTCGCTTAATCAAGTGATCAGAATAGCGTTGGCCTTTAAACCAAAGCTTAATAGTAGAGGCCCAACGCAAGAGGTTTAGTAGTAAAAACTGGAGGGCTTGGAATTACGGAACTGAAAGTAGTAGACTTGCCAGAAGAAGAGCCAGACATGATGAAGAACAGTAAGCAAAGAAAACAAGTATGGAGATTTGACTACTCTTGGTACTCGGATAGAATGCACAGGTTTACTGAAGTAGAAGCTGAAAATATCGTTAGCAATTGAGAACCACAACAAGATCTAACCAGAAAAGGTGAGAGAAGCTACAGATCTAGTGAGCAAGGATGACGTTGACCAGGAAGGAGCACTGGTGAGGGGAACGATAGCTGAGAAGAAGTGACGGCAAGGGAGACAATCACCAGGAAAAAGGATGAGCGCAGATCTACCTAGATTTGGCTCAGATCTACTTGGATTGGGTTCAAATTAGGTAGATCTGGAGGAAAGGAGTGGTGATAGCCAGTCACACTAGCCGAGAAGAGAGAAATGACGCTGGCAGATATCAAACACTGCAAATCTGCTCAGATCTACTCGGAGAAGACTCAGATTTGCTCCAAAAAGGCTCGGACTTGCACTAAGAGACTCTAGGTAGAGTCTAAATTGGGAGGCAACGCTCGAAAAGGAAGATATGACCGAAAATAAGTGACACGTGTAGTTAAGCACGCCGGAAAAGAAAAGGAAAAGTTTTCCAGCGGTGGGGCATGGCGGCATGTGAGGGCTCCTGTGGTGGCACGGTTCTGACCGTAGGTATATCGGTGGCCGGTGAGCATTATGGTGGGATGTGTGATGAAGAAAGCCAACTCAAAGGGTACCTCTAAGAGACAGTCACATGACTTGCAACAGAAACCCTTGATAAAAGGAAAAATTTTGGAACTTAGGATTTTAAACATTTGGCTCTAATACCATGTTAAGAGACAACCATAGAAAACCCTAAGTTGTGTAAATGAGTCAATGATCAACACTGTTCTCTAAATTTTGTATTTATAATACTGAGGGATATACAAATAAGAAAAAAAATATACAAATAAGGAAAGAAAATAAATAAAAATAAATGAAAGTATTCCAAGTGATATACTCTATTAGATATTCCTAATCTACCTATATACATATTTCTACAGTAAATAATGTTAATAAAGTAATTTAAGTTGAAAACAAGACTTTCTCCTAAAGATACCACTACTAATCTTCTACTTTGGTTGACTACAAAAAAGGAAGAGACAAAGTATGACAAACTAAGAGAAGAATCCTTTTGAAGTAATGAGGTTAAATCATAAAAAGCAGATTATATGTTGCTTACAGATAAGAAATATTAAAAAATTCGTGCAGAATTTATCAGTGAAGAAAATATGTCCATAAATCATGATATAGTGTGCCAATGCTATGAAGATTTTCAGATGGATGACCAATCGTTACACACAATTGCTTTCCAAAGAAATACTCGTTAAGCTATGATTACGAACAAATGGATATAATATTAAAGATGAAAGCATGGTCTTGGAAAGAGAATAGCACTGCCAACCCAAATAGTTATATAACAAGGTAGTTTCATGTTACAGCTTTTTTTCCTCCCTTTCTGAGATAACCATGTAACGCTGTTATCCTACTGACATTCCTATATTAGCATCAAAGCCCTCAGCAAGAGGCTAGTCGTATGATTCATAAAGAAGCTTCAATTATAATTATCAAGTAAATTACATATATATTATAAGCTTTTGAAGTATGATATTTTGTAACCCATAGAAATTGGCGAGAACCAATTTGCGCAGGTCTTAAACACAGCAGAAAGTTGGAATAAATCTAATTCTATAAGTTGCTTTAGTTGATTTAATGTTGCATTTCACCTTTTAAGAAGTGCTTTGTTGCCAAAAGTATGTCCCCCAGATATAAGAAGCACAAACCTAGAATAGGGAAGTGTATGGTACATCAAAGATTCAAATGTGGTAAACTTCTTTTAATCAAGTGAAGCATTTCTTTGTTCTGACATGGAAACTCAAATTGCCAAAAATGGCAACCTCAAAAGTCCTGAAGAAACCCTTATCCACAAGGGCATCACATTGCTTTGGTTCAGTTATAAGAAATTTAAAAATCAAAGACAAACTGACACTAGCAGTCTTATCAAGACAAAAATCTATACAAGAACATATGAAAATATGAATAGAGTCTCATGGACAGAAAGATCTGCTAACTTCCCAAATTTAGACAGAATTCTCCCTGGCTTTCTCTACCATTTTCATCAGAACATATCATATGGGGCATAAGAGGCTGCTACACCATATATAGAAAAAAAAAATGTTAGGCCAAGTAAGCTAGTGAAACATGAATCCCGACTTTACCAGCTTTGCTTAGTCATGAACACCCATCTTACACCATTCAAATCCCTCCAGAATTTGATGTTTATAAAAATAACAACCCAATAGCCCTTGACTGACATAATAGATATTTGTCAGAACTGGATCACAGGAACAGACCTAAAATCTAAAGAAATATCAGAAAGTTTGATTTGCAAAATGTCAACTAATTTGCTAGTCAAACCCTAAAGTGCACGGAAAAATTTGAATATAGTCGACAACTTTATTTGGTTCGGCCTTCAAACCAAGACATCTTACACTGGATCTGCACTACATCAATGTAGTCATCCATGTCACTTGAAATTCATTTATAGGAACGTGCACCCAACCATGTATTTCGAAAAGTAAGCTTGACAGAACTTATACCAACTCACCTTTGAAAGTTGGTGACCAGTTGGGTCATGTGGGATTTATGTTATTCACTTGCTGAAGTAAAAAACTGACTTATTTAGTTCTTATCATACCTTCTTAGATTGATAAAGTACTATCTAATCCTTTAACCAAATTGGCATTACAAAATCTTTCCCAAATTAAACTCGTTTAATCAATTTAACAACCTAGTCTGCCTTGAATAAGATATGATCGTCTCCAACATGTTTCAGAAATTAGTACTTCATGGATAAATTTGATGGATAACATGCGTATGAACTACTGAAAATCTATCAAAATATAGGAAGTGATCTCTCATGGATCCTTCAACTATGAAGCCTTCTGCATCAAGGCTACCTTGATTGGCTGGCAGGCTGAGGACAGGGTGGAAAACAAATAAGTCACATATAATCTCAAATGAAATTCCTATAAAATAGAATAGAATGAAAATGACAAATGAAAACAGAGGATGAAGAAGTTGCATAAGTCTTACTAGGCAGAGGGATTACATCAATGGGACGAATATGATTACTAACTACTGACAGTGTTTTCACATCGAGTATATTGGATAGTATACATGGGATTAACTACCTCAATGTGATTTTATCCTGGGTGGAGGAGAAATTACAAGATGTCTAGCATTCCCCCATGTTATTGACAATTAGAATACAATAGGACAGGATAGGATTGCAACAACTTATTTTGTAATATACAAACTACTTATCAAACCCTTCTTTCTAGTATCAAACTCTTCTTTCTACTTTCATACACTGTTTCAAACTTAAAACACAGAAAATCAATAAAATTTACAATGCAAAGCATACATCCTTGTTGAAGATGAAATGTGCATGGAAGAAAAATCTAATAGCTTTATTGTTGTCACTCATAAGACAACAATTAAAAAATCATTAGAATAGGACCATTTATTGTCATCTTTATATCTCCTTGTGCTACCACTACTTTGGAATTCTAGAGATAAGATAATACTAGGATATTCTTAATTCATCTAATGTCCGATAATGCCTTCCTAGATCTTTATAGATCTCTGAGAAATATATTCCTTCTCTGAACAAGCGAAAAGAAGGTCCAACTCTATAACAAGTTCTACGTCCTTCAGAGTTTATTGGTCTATCAGAAATAATTTAGCCGCAATATACACTCAACCACTAGGTAAGTCTTAAGTCTTTGTCCAGTTAGATCCTCACAAAAATAAATGCCATATTATCCCCATCTATCAAGAAGGCTCTTATCTCAAGATAAGGCAAATTTCTTTCCAACTGTATGGCACTTAAATGGAAAATATTTCTTCCAGAAAAATGGATATAAATAACAAAAAGAATAAAAATTTCAGGGACAGAGCAAAAAAGCAGGGCACAATTCAAAGATGCCAATGCTAATGTGCAATTGAAGTTAATTTTCCAAAGCATACAATATCAATGGACTGTACAAGTTATGCTTTATAGTCAAATTCCTTACATCAACTTTAAATTACAGCAGAATATGCAAAATAATGAAAAGAATGAGGCAAAAATTAATGAACTGTAGTGAGGGGCTTCTGTCTGGAGAGACAACTAACAGAAAAAGAAATGGCTTAAAGGAGAAAGGGACGGTTTATCAAACCAAGAATGACGACCCAGTGAAAATTTCGGAGTTTCCATGAAAATGACTTAGAAAAAATATAAAACTTGAATATTACCAAATTATATGCATGAATTTTGCCTACATTTCAGAATAACAAACCTGCATATTATTTGAGCTATGCTCAAAGGTCAGCTGAATAAAAATATTAGACTCTTTTAGTATATTATAAAAAGTTAAACCGAAAGGGATAAACATCTGTTTAACCTTGTCAATGATGTCAAGCTGTGACTTCAGCCATGACAATCTCAATTACTACCCAAAAATCTGATGTCAAAGTAAAGGAGTAATAAAATTAATTCCAAGGGACATTCAGAAAAACAAACCTGGCTTGAAGAATACTGATAATCCAAAGTCTATGGTTTTGAGAGTTGATTCCTCCTCCTCATTAACAAAAAGGAAGTTTTCAGGCTTTAGGTCTCGGTGCATCACTCCAAATGCATGCAAGGCTTCTATTACTCCAACAATAGTCCTAGCAAGCTCAGCAGCCTTTTTTCTGTGTAATGTCCCCTCTTGACAATTCTATCAAAAAGCTCACCACCTGTGCACAACTCCATCACAACATGAACTGCCATAGCATCTTCATATGCTTCTTTAATTGATATAACATTTGGGTGGCCTGACAAGTGATGCATGATCTCAATTTCCCTCCTCACATCATCCACATCTTCCTCTGTCAGTAACTTCCTCTTGGCTATGGATTTGCAAGCATATTCCTTTCCTGTTGCCTTCTCCACACAAAGAAAAGTTGTCCCAAATTGCCCTTGTCCTAGTTTATGCCCCAAATTGTAGTACTCTTTCAGACGACCTGTTTTTCTTCTCAAAACAGACTCTACCTGTAGCCCTGCACATGACATTCTCTTGACATTATGTGGCTTCTTCCGTCCTCTAGTCTCTGCATGTTTTGGGGCTTGCCTTAGTGCTCTTGTCACTGGCTCGGCTCTTGTAGATTCTGTTGGGTGATTCTCTTTCTCTGTGGGTTCTACTGGATTGATCACTTCCTTCACTTGCGCTGCTGGGTTAGTTTCTTCCCTCGCCTTGGTCACTGGCTCCGGTTTAGTGGGTCCTTCTGGTTTAGTGCCGTCTTTAACTATCACCTCCATTTGTGGGGGCTTATCTTGGACGGCTTGAGCATCAGGCTCTTTGGCAGATGACGAAATGTCTGTGTTACTAATTTCCTTACTAGTAGATTCAGCCCCACCCAGGCACAATGAACACAGAAAGCACCCATTCTCTGAATTCTCCGACTTGCCACAACTATTTCCCATCTAGTGCTTTTTGGTTTGGGAACAGTGTTGGAGTCTCAATACCAAGATGGGTTTCTTCTTGCAGTCATAATTGGCTCAGCTAAAAACTGTTCCAAAATAAAAATGTGCTTCATAACCAATGAAGGAGTAATTTGCTGGATAATTTAATTTACAATCCACTCTATATAGAAACGCATTGAATATAACAGTTCCGAAGAACTCTTGAATCTTTTGAAAGCCCCAAGGTCCCCCATTACCAAAGGTTCTAATGCTAACTAAAATGCATGATCAGAAAGGCACAATACAAGGCACATTTCCAAGGAAGCTTGCAACTTCTAATCTTTTAATCAAAACCCACAAAAGCAATCCAATGGATATATAAAAAAATATTCAGGAATTACAAATACAATTTGAATTTTCAGATGCCATGCTCCAGATGAAAGAACAGGAAGGAATAGTTAGTAGCATTTGATCATGCTTTTTGCTTACCAGGTGTCTTCCTACATTGAAGATTTTGTGTGGTTATTGGACTAGGGTTTTTCATTTTTCTCATCTGGGTGCTTATTACTTTCTTCCCCTGCCTCGAAGCATACGCAAAAAGCGGGTCGGAGAAAGAGAGGGAAAGGGGAGGAAAGTGACAGGTTTTTCTGTTGGGGAGATTCAAATCCATTTTAATCTACTATTACGGGTGGCCGCAATTACAGGAAAATGCCCATGTTTCCATATTTGGCTTCCCAAGTTACCGATCAAGAAAAGAAAATTTCAAGAAAAATTCAATTTCAACGAAGCAAGAAGAAAATTTGAAGTAAGCGTTTGGCGAAGACCATGGCCGAAAAACAAAAAGAAAAACAAAAATCATTTTTCCCATTCAACTTTTTTTATATATTCTATTTACCCCTAAACTCTTTGCCAGACCATTCACCCACTGAAATTAAATAACAATTTTAGTTACTCTTAAACTATTCACTCTTAGTAATAAAGTTTTTTAAAAAATCATCATTAAAATAATTAATTATTAAAATTTTAAAAATTTATGTTAATATATTTATTTAATAATAAAAGTTATTAAATGCGCTTAATTTTAGATATTAAATAAAATATAATTAAATTTTACAAAATTAATTTACTGTATTCACAAAATCTAACTAAATAAAAAATTGTTGGTTATGAAAAAATAATTTGATTTTAGTAGAAACTATTCAAATACCGTAATTTGAAATTTAATCATCAAACTAAATTGGTTAACTTTATATTTTTTAAATAGAAATTAAATGGATACGTAAGGAAAGTGAACGTATTATGAATAATAGTGATTTATGTTATTTATTTTTTATTTTATTTGATGGTGTTAATTTGTAAAGAGTAGATGTTATATTGAAGAACAAAATAATTTTTACCAAAAAAGATAAAAAGAACGCAATTGACATATAAGCAAAAGAAGGGTTAGTTGCAGAGATAATCCTCATTTTTGCACCAAGTCCCTTTTGGTCCCTATAGTTAGGGGTGAAAATAAGTTAAACTACTTCACGGATGGCTCATGATTTGATTCGAGAATTGGTTGAATGAATCAAGATCATGAATTAAATGAACGATATATTAGTTAAGTTTTTAACTCACATAAAAATGAGTCGAACTTGAGTTAAAGGAAGCTTGACTCATTTGGTTTATAAATTGGCTTTCTCTCTCTCTCTCTCTCTATATATATATATATATATATATATTACTTGAGATTCTAGTTACTTTTAATTGATTTGTGAGGAATATGTTATTCTTTCTTTTTAATTCTTGAGTATAAAATTAAAAAATACAATTACTTTTAACTTTTTAAAATGTTAAATATAAAAGTTAATTGTCCTTAATTTTTTTTTAAGTTGAAGAAAAATTATGTAGGGATAAATTTGAAATAATGCCTCATTAATAGTTAATTTGGAAACATGAACTATTACTATAACAAGACTTTTATTTTTCTTAAGAAAGCAATACAACACAAGATTGTTATTAAAAAAAAAAATAGAACAATATACATAGGGTAGTTAGAAATTGTAATTATAACATAATATTTTCTTACATGGCAAAGGTAATTTGAGACTTTTCATAGATAAAACTTTTATTTTGATATTAGGTCAAATTATAGATAAAAATATTATTTATTAATGTTACTTAATTGAGATATATAAATTATTGTTTTTTTATTTTTAATATATATGAGTTAATGAACTAAGCTGAGCAACTCATGAGTTTAGTGCGAGCTAACTCTGAGTCAAGAAAATAGATTCACTTAAAAAATGAGTTGAGTTATGAAATAATTTAAATTTCAGTTAGCCGAACCCAAGTTGAGGCTCGACTCGACTCCTTTCATTCCTACCTACAATAAATCTCTATGTTTTGTACAACATCAACTAAGGAGAATTTTTTAATCCAAATAATATAATTTTTCTAAATTTTTATTGGTGTCCAATGTTAGAAAAAAAGGGAAAGAAGTGTCCATTGAAGAAATAACATTTGTAATGGGAAAATAAATAAATAAAAAAAATAGAAAGAGTTAATTCCAAAATTTACCCCATATTTTGCACTAAATCTCTATTTGGTTTCAATAATTTTATTTATAACAAATTAAACATGTAAAGATCTAAAAAAATTCTGTAAGGAGTGTTAAAGATAATAATTAACCACAATTAGCATTTATAGCTACCAAAACAAAAAATCAACTGTGATTATCATTTTTAACATTCAGAAAACATTACCCTCGCCCTCTCTTTCCCTTGATACTTCCAAACCACTTTTAGGATTAAAACAATGACCCAAAGACAATGAAATCAAGCAAGCAATAAATTGCAACAAGGGAACACAAGATTTAACCAAAGAATTTGGTGAAATGGCCAAAACGCCCAGAGAGTCACAGAGCTATTACAAACTAGGAACTAGATTAGGAACTCAAACCAGATAATCACAGAAATCAATGCATGTTTTCCGGAATTGTCATTACACATGTAACCCCCAATTTGCCTGAGGAATCAAAATCACCATTTTTTCCCTGAAACACCGGTTACCTAATAATTCATTCTTGAGTCAAAGTGAAGACTCGTGATTCATTTTGTCACTCGTGAATATCTTTCAAACTGTCATCATTGAACTATTAAGAATTTCGTGAAATAACCAAAATGCTCTTGAGGTTTTCATTATTCAAATCTGGTTCATTCTCAAATGTGTTCCGGTCAAATCCCTCGTGATTAAGCTTTTTTTAGTAATTAAATGAAAATTTTTGCACAAGAGTTAAAGTATCAATAAGAGTGCCTATTGCAAGTTATCCAAACTTGTGGGCTTTATCCACTGGTCTCCTTGTGGAATTGGCGTGGCGGTGCCAAAACTGGCCATATGTAACTCTTTGTCGGATGAAACATCATTAGTTATATGGCCAAGGCTTGGGAAAATGGCTCATATAGGAGGAGAATGGTATATAACCAGGATTTGAGAATCATGTTGGCCAAAAAGTTTTGGCAGTATGCGGTGTATTATGGTGTCGTTGATAAGAGTTTGAGTGGCAAATTGGATTGTCATGCTTGGTTTAGGGCTTTCTATCTAGGTGGAGTTTAGAGTTCTTTGGTGTTAGAGTAGTGGTTAATCAATTATAAATTATTTTTACTTTTTTTCCAAATATAAATGTATTCTTACATTTAGGTTATCTTCATCAAGTGTAAGAAGCAAGTTCTATATTTAGAATTAAAATTCTTAAATGACACATGATTATAAAAGTAGGGCATGTATAAGATGGAGATCATGCAACATATCTTTATATTCATGATTTTAAAAATAGTTTCAAGTTGTAAAATCTAGCAAGAAAGAGTATTGACTCGAGATTTAAATAGATTTGTATTAATGGTACATGTGTCCAAAAGGAGAGTATCTCATTTTATGGATGATCAGTATTTTGGATACTAATGTATACTAGTAAGTACTTGGTAGGGAATGAGTATACTGAACAATACCATTGAAGATTACCATATAGATTCATTCATGTATGTTTTATGCTAGTGCTTTAACTAATACTTAAACTTGAGTCCTCATGCTTTGATATATCTCTTATTGGCTACCTTTATTATTGGACAACCACAAACCAAGATACATTGGGCAAGAACTACTTACATATGGAGGTTTGTGAGAACTAATATAGGATTAATCGCCCACCTAGTAGAATGAGAGATTCTCATATTTTTTATGATAATTGGCTTGACCAAGATTTTGTGCAGGGCATGTGAGAAATAGGAAAAGGGTTTTCTAGTTTGGTCACACAAAAATCAGGTGAGATTGTATACATAAGTACTATTCCTAATCCTAGATGGCAGTCTAAGGGATAGTTGATGGAGGAACAATATCTGCATAAAACATACGAATGAAATGTTCACACAAACTTCCCTGTTTCTAGGCATCTATGGTAATTTACTAGACATATATCATGGAATGTGAGTTCTCTTGCATTTAACCAACAATTAAAGGGATTTAATCAATAAAAGTAATTATTTATTAATTACTAACTTACAGCTAGCTAATCGGTAAATTTAAGGGGTTATATATTAAGTCAGATAAACTGATATCGATTACAATTTAATATTCATTTGTTGGATAGTATCGAATGCATAACTGGAAAAAAATAATTAAAATAATTAATTATTTATTTGAGCTTATTGTTTGGTTAAAAAGTTTAATTAAGTTGGGCTCAAATTATTGAGCTAATCGGAGTTGAGGAACTTGGGCTTGGGGAAACCTATAGTTGGAAATCTAAGGTTGCAGGCAATTAGGTTCGTCAAACCTTTAAATGCCTTTTGACGTTTAAATCCATTTAAATGATTTAATTAAATCACTAAATTAAAGTTAGATTTAATTCATAATATAAAGGGTTTTAGTTGAACTAAGACTCCTTTGGGCATCCTCCATAAATAGGGGTCCTTCCTATGAAAAATGGATGACGAAAGTTAAATTCTTCTCATTCCCTTAGTCCTTCTTAACCTATCTTCAGTTATCCA